GAGTGCCAAGTGAAACGCATCCTGATTGATCAAGGCAGCTCTTGCGACATCATGTACGTTCGATGTTACAAGGAACTTGGCCTTTACCCAGATGATATGGAACAATCCAATGGCCCAATGGTTGGGTTCAATGGAACGCCGACATGGCCACTGGGAACAGTAAGCTTGGAGGTAAAGGCTGGCACCAGGAAGAACAAGACAGAATTCACCATCATCGACACAACCTCCCCTTACAACATCATCTTGGGAAGGCCATGGTTGCATGCAATGGGGGCAGTTCCCTCAACATTGCATCAACTATTGCGATTCCCAACAGAGCATGGGATAAAGGAAGTCAGAGGAGATCAGCTGCAAGCGAATAATTGCTCCATGGCAGCAATGAAATCTACCTGCAGCGTACGAGAGCCAGAGAAGGCAAAAATTGAAGATGAGGACGTGGAAGTCCTAGAAGACGTCGGCAAAAAGCCAGCCAAGAAGAGCGAAGAGGCACTGAAAAAAATCCTCATCCAGGATGGGGATGAAGAACGCTTCTTTCTTCTCGACTCGGGCTTAGCTGAAGAAGAGGAAAAAGAGTTGGAAACTTTTTTGAGAGCAAATATTGAGGTGTTCGCTTGGACACCTTATGAAATGCCTGGCATTGACCCCGAGGTCACTTGCCACAAACTGAATGTTGACAGGTCGGCCAAACCTGTAATTCAACGAGCTAGAAGACCGACGTTGATGCACGTCGAAGCAGTAGAGGAAGAAGTAGACAGACTTCTGGAGGCCAGGGCCATTAGAGAAGTACACTACCCAACATGGCTATCCAATACAGTGGTGGTAAAGAAGAAGAACAGTAAATGGAGGGTCTGCGTGGACTTTACCAGCCTCAACAAAGCATGTCCCAAAGACAGCTTTCCTCTACCCAAGATTGACCAGCTAGTAGATGCCACTTCAAGGCATGGAAGAATGAGCTTCCTAGATGCCTATAGGGGGTACCACCAGATAGCCATGTACCCCCCAGACGAAGAGAAGACTGCGTTCATCACCCCAAAAGGCCTGTATTGTTACAGAGTAATGCCTTTCGGGTTGAAAAATGCAGGAGCAACTTACCAAAGACTGGTAACCAAAATGTTCAAACACCTGATTGGTCGAACAGTAGAAGTCTACATCGACGACATGGTCGTTAAGACCAAGGAGCCTAGGGTCATCTTACCAATCTAAAAATAATCTTTGAAATCTTTAAAACATATCGGCTCCGACTCAATGCATCGAAGTGTGCATTTGGAGTTGGATCTGGTAAGTTTTTAGGATACCTGGTGACTAGAAGGGGCATCGAGGCCAGCCCAGATCAAATCAAGGCCATTCTAGAGTTGAAGTGCCCGACGTCGGCAAAACAGGTGCAGATGCTAACTGGAAGGGCCGCAGCCCTAAACAGATTCATCAGCAGAAGCTTAAATAAGTGCAGACCTTTCTTCAACTTGGTGAAGAAAGCCACAGACTTCCTATGGACAGAAGAATGCGAAGCCGCTTTGGCCGACCTAAAGAAGTACTTGACCACAGCTCTAGTTCTTTCAAACCCAGAACTTGGGGAGGAGCTATTTCTGTACTTAGCCATTTCAGAATATGCGATAAGTGCAGTACTAATCCGAGAAGAAAAATGAGTGCAAAGGGCTGTTTACTATGTAAGCAAAACCCAAGCCGATGCAGAAACGAGGTATCTACCCTTAGAGAAATTGGCACTAGCTTTAGTAATGGCTTCAAAGAAGTTGAACCATTACTTCCAGGCCTATAAAATTGTGGTGCTAACAGAGTACCCCTTAAAGTCCTTACTGCAGCAAGGAGACTTGACAGGAAGAATAGGCAGGTGGGCAGTCACCCTAGGCCAATATGACCTGGAGTACAGGCCAAGGACAGTAATTAAAGGCCAGGTTCTGGCTGACTTCGTGTCCGAGTTCATGCCAAGTTCCACCGAACATCAGGCTCCGTCGAGCCAAGATGAACGATGTCCAGATAAGCAAGAAAAAGCCTAGGCAAAGGCAAAAGAACAAAAGAAAGAAGAAAAACTCAGACCCTGCAGCATTTACATCGGCGACTCCTTTCGATTGTTCGTTGATAGAAGTTCAAACCGACAAGGAGCGGGGGCAGGAGTAGTATTTATATCCCCAGATGGGTAGGTACTAGAACAGTCAATTCGTTTGGGGTTCAAGGCCTCAAACAATGAAGCAGAGTATGAAGCACTCATTGCAGGACTGAAGTTGGCAGCAACAGTGCAAGCAGATGAGGTAATAGTTTTTTGTGATTCACAACTAATAGTTAACCAGACAACAGGCGAGTTTGCAGCCCGAGATGAACGAATGTCGGCCTACGCAAAGGAAGTTGTCAGACTGTCAGCCCTGTTTCAGAACTGACGACTACTTCAGGTAAGCCGAGATGATAACAGCCACGCCGATGCATTGGCCAACCTAGCTAGCGCAGTACAACCTGGAAAAGCAAGGACAATAATGATTGATTACCTGTCGGGCCCGAGCATTGAACCAGTAACCACGGAGCATGAAGCAATGTGCGTAGACATGGGACCAAGCTGGATGGACGCAATTGTTGCTTTCCTAAAAGAAGGAAAGCTACCAGATGACCGCAAGGAGGCACACAAGATCAGATTAAAATCGGCAAGATTCAGTCTGACAGCAGAAGGACACCTCTACAGAAGATCCTTCACTGGACCCTTTTTAAGGTGCGTACACCCTTTGCAGGTTGAAGATTTTTTACATGAAATCCATGAAGGAATTTGAGGAAGCCACGCTGGGGGCAGATCACTAGCTCACAAGGCCATTACCTAGGGATATTGGTGGCCTTACATGTAAAAAGATACAGAAGCCTACGTGAAAAAGTGTGAACAATGCCAAATGTTTGCACCTTTGATACACCAGCCAGCTGCTGACCTGAACCCTGTATCCAGTCCTTGGTCATTTGCCCAATGGGGCATGGATCTCGTAGGGCAATTACCCCAAGCAACTGGACAAAGAAAGTACTTGCTGGTAGCAACAGATTACTTCACAAAATGGATAGAAGCAGAACCTCTTGCCAAGATCCGAGATGTGGATGTCAAGAACTTCATATGGAGAAACATCATCACCAGATTTGGGATTCCGAGAGCAATTGTTACGGACAATGGAACTCAATTTGACAGCAAGCTAATCAAGAACTTCTGTGCAAAGTTCAAGATCAAGAACTACTTTTTAATCCCAAGCTTTCCACAAAGCAATCGATAAGTAGAACCATCCAACAAAGTAATTTTGGATGGAATAAAGAAGAGGCTACAGGCAGCAAAAGGCAAGTAGGTAGACGAATTACCCAATGTACTCTGGGCATATCGGACTACGCCGAGAAGATTAACAGGAGAATCCCCCTTCGCCATGGCTTATGGCACAGAAGCAGTCATTCCACTGGAGATCGGCATCCTAGGAATCAGAACCCAGGGAGTAGAAAACGGGACTAATGATGTACTCTTAGCCCGAGATCTGGATCTTTTAGAAGAAAAAGAAAGAAAGCTGCAATCCAGCTTGCAGCATACTAGCAGCAACTTGCAAAAGCTTATAACAAGAAGGTCAATCCAAGAGAGTTTCAAGTCGGCGGCCTAGTCCTGAGGAAAGTCATCGGCAATAAGAAGGATCCCAGAGAGGGCAAGCTTGGCCCAAATTGGGAAGGACCCTACAGAATCATTTCGGTACTGGGTAATGGGGCATATCGGCTTGAAGATAATGAGGGCAAAGAGTTGCCAAGACCTTGGAATACTTGTAATTTGAAATTTTTCTATCATTAGAATTTCTTTGTTCTTTTGTCATTTGCCAAAGTAAATAAATAAAGATTCAATTTGGTTTTTTTTTTCAAGATACTTGACATTGTCTACATGTATAATAAGAATCCAAGTGGAACTCAGGTTCACATTAGGGGGCAGAGAGAAGAAGAATATGTTTAACACTTGTTGAAATTTGTGGACAATTTACAAGTTAAGTTAAACCGAAATCATTGTTTAACACTTGTTGAAATTTGTGGACAATTTACAAGTTAAGTTAAACCGAAATCATTGTTTAACACTTGTTGAAATTTGTGGACAATTTACAAGTTGAAGTTAAGCCGAAATCATTGTTTAACACTTGTTGAACTTTGTGGACAATTTACAAGTTGAAGTTAAACCGATATCATTGTTTAACAATTGTTGAAATTTGTGGACAATTTACAAGTTAAGTTAAACCGAAATCATTGTTTAACACTTGTTGAAATTTGTGGACAATTTACAAGTTGAGTTAAACCAAAATCATTGTTTAACACTTGTTGAAATTTGTGGACAATTTACAAGTTAAGTTAAACCGAAGTCATTGTTTAATACTTGTTGAAATTTGTGGACAATTTATAAGTTGAGTTAAACCGAAATCATTGTTTAACACTTGTTGAAATTTGTGGACAATTTACAAGTTAAGTTAAACCGAAATCAATGTTTAACACTTGTTGAAATTTGTGGACAATTTACAAGTTAAGTTAAACCGAAGTCATTGTTTAACACTTGTTAAAATTTGTGGACAATTTACAAGTTAAGTTAAACCGAAATCATTTGTTTAACACTTGTTGAAATTTGTGGACAATTTACAAGTTGAAGTTAAGCCGAAGTCATTGTTTAACACTTGTTGAAATTTGTGGACAATTTAAAGTTGAGTTAAACCAGTATGATGTTCAACACTTGTTAAAAGTTTACAAGTTAAGATTAAAACCAAGAAATTTGTCTATCCGAGGTGTGCCACCCCGAGAAGATTGTACAAAGAAGGAAGAGTATGTGAAAGACATGCAGAATATTCTGAGTATAGAATCACGCCAGAGCAGTCAAGAAAAGACAAAAGTACAAGCAATCAGTAAAGGAAAGTTGTATCAGCATTCAACAAAAAGGAGGCATATCGGCCATATGGAGAGCTTACATTGTTTTAAAAAATAAAGAAAAACAAAGTACAAAAGAAAAGACATGAAAACTAAGGTTCCTCGGCATCAACAGTGAGCTGGGTTGGGACCTCGGACGATTGTTGAGAAGCAACCTCAGCCGCCTTCTCCGCCGTTAGCTCAGCATCAATTTCTTGCAAAGTTTCTTCAGTACTCTTGTCGGCGAAGGGGACGTCGGCTGATACCTTCTCATGAGCAGCGTCTTTGGGAACCTCATCACCTTCCTTATCTTTAGTCAAGTTAGGACTTGCTCCTTCTAAAGAGGGGACTTGGCCCCATCAGCATCCTTGGATTTTCTCACCAAGGCCTCATCCTCATCCTCATCACCATCCTTAGACTCAGATTCGCTGACGTCTTGACTTAGAGGTGCAGATAGAGGGAATGGAAGAGGAATGGCGTCGGCTTTTCTCAAGGGCGAGTCCTCAGGAACGTTGAGCTTTTTCAGAAAGGACATCCAACCAAGGGTGAAACCCTTGTTGCATGCCTCCTTCACCTGTTTTTCATAAGCCTCAGTGACATTGGCCATGCCCTGGGCGTACGCCTTTTTATCGGCGTCTTTGATTTCAGCCTCTTTGGTGGCCAAGGCTTTTTGAAGCTCTTTTTCAGCTTGGGCCATCTTCTCTTTAGCCTCTTTTCTTTGGGACTCAGCAACCTTTCTGATGGCTTCGAAAGATTCAGCCTTCTCTTCGGCTTCAGTTTGGGCTTTGATTGCAACATCGGCTTGGTCTTCAAACCTTTTCATCTTTGACTGCAAATTCTTGTTGGCTTTTTGGAGAGAAGAGAACTCCTTCTTCATATTGGCCAGCTTCTGCCGATTTTCAAAAGATTGAACAGAAAAAGAGTGGGCATTCTGGATGGCCTGAAAAAAAAAAAACACAAGGTAAAAGTTATTGCAAAAATTTCTAAGTATGAAAAAGAAGGGAAAAAAAATGCCAGTTGAAAGACACTTACTTGAACAGAGCGTTGAAGCATCAACGCATAGTTTTCGTATTCACTCAACTCGGCGTTTCGCTCCAGATCGCCTGGTAATAGCAGAGCAGTGCTAAGCGCAACGTCGACATTAATATCCTCGGCACTATTATTTGCCATGACTGGCTTATCCTCCAAAGTAATTTCGGGGGCCCAGGGGGCAGCATGCTTCTTAGACCCCAAGGTCGTTGCAGAAGATGACTTCGGCTTTTTTGATTTGGGCGATTCGAATGGTTGGGCTTCAGAGCGCCTCTTCCTAGCAGAAGGTTGAGACTTGTCACTCTCAGCCAACTTGGAGATTAGTAGAGCATCCTCAGACTCAATTTGAGTACCTTTAGCCTTTGGCTGAGCCTTTTTTATTCTTTTCGGCTTCGGTGGAGGCAGGGCTTGTGTTGGTTGTGCATCAACATCAGAAGGGATGCTAGCCAAGAGATCTTTCGCAATTGGTTTTGGGCGACCCATCTCTGTAGTAGAAACTTTTCGGCGTCGACAGCAGTGTTGGGATATTGGAATCAGGTATGGAGTCGAGGTTGATGGTTGATCAGCTGGATCGGAAGTTGACCCTTGATCTGCCCGAGATGTGGACGCAGTCTGTGGAGTTATGGCAGAAGGTGGAGAGAGGCTTTTCTTCTTCCTCTTAGGGACGTCGGGCAAGGCTGACTTATAGGTTGGGATAAAATTGAGAAGCAAAGGCGCCTTCCGTTTGTAAACTGGCAGGTTTAGTAGCTTCTTCAAATCCTTACTGAAGAAGAAGGATTGGCGGAAGTTCTTTGGAGGCTGAGGAAGAACTGCAAAGATAGAAAAGCACAGACATTAGGAAAAAATATTGAAAACTTTATGCAAGAAGATATGAAAACTTATGAAGGGTGGCCCTTATCAGCTCCTTCCCCCAAAAACAGTTCGGCTTAAGGGATAAAGATGGAGGTCATCATTTGGCTAAAATTCCCAATTGCCCGAGACGATGAAGTAATCGTTTCTAGCTCCCTTGTTGGAGTTTGGGAGGTCGGCTACGATTTTATATTCAGTTGATCTCGGCTTGAGGTAGTAGACATAATCCGTGTCTTTTCTAAGGCGACACATGGTATAACAGTACTGGACATCAGCAAGCGTAATCCTGACATTCTCTTGTTTGACTAAAGCTATGGTACCAGTAATAACTCGGTAAAAATTGATGGCGAGTTGCATTGGGTTCAACTTATAGAAGTGCAGGATTTGACGAAAAAAAGGGTTAAGTGGAAACCGGAGTCCACACTCAATAAAGGCAACCACAGGGAAGGGCATGGAGTTTTCTGTAGGCATGATGGAATCATCATCCCCAGCCAATCTCAGATTGACATTGGCTGGGATTTCAAACTCTTGCCTAAAAAATTCCAGCTTAGAGGGGGTGTCTACCCGATGTTTCCACATACCCATAATGTCGGGAAAACTAAAGGTATTGGGTTTCAGTAAGAAGATGTTTCAAATAGGGTTATTGGGACCTCGGCAAAAAACCTAGGTTTTAGCTGGTGCAGAAATTTGTAAGGGATGTTTTAGTTTTGCCCTAAATTGTGGGTTCTACAGACAAATCCCAAACCTAAAAGCTATGAAGATTGAAGGAACGAATCTGGAAAACAGAAACAAGAACGAGTTTCAGAATCAAGAACAGAGATGGTTTATCAAGAACAAAAAGAATACAAGAAGTATAGGGCCATGAACAGTGGCAAAAATACAGCGAGATAGTGAAACAGTGCGTGTGTTCAAGATATGGGCAAGGGCAAAATCGTGGGAAAAACACATTCAGGTGTATAATTCACAAATTAAAAAGTCTAAACAAATGCAGTAGTGGTGGCAAGTAATAGAAAGCATCAAGAAATTGAAAACAAAAGGAACAGTAAACTTACCGAAGAAAAGAGGCCGGTGTAAGAATCGCTGAAGTCAGTCAATGGTTACAGAAGTAGTAGAACGGCAGAAAGCTTCACCAGAAAGAAGAAAGAAGGCAGTTGCAGAGCTTGAGGTCTGGAACAATGGCGTATTCGAAGGCTAAAGAGAGAAAGAGCGAAGGAATTGATGTAAAAATGAAGAAAATGAAAAAGGGAAAACAAGTTTTTGTCAAAAAAAAATTAAAACGGCGGCAAAAAGAAATTAAATGCACCTAGAGCATGAGTGCATCAGACGGCGCATGCAGACAAGACGGTTTTCTGGCGCGTCATAAGCACGATCCAATAGGAATGAAACGCGTGAATAAAACGGTTGAAAAATGATGTTTGACAGCTCATACGCATGAAGGTGCTTATTAGGAATTCTTGTTCTTTAACGAAGACATGTCGGCCAACATAATGATCTCAGCTGAAGTACTATGAACTAATGTACTGAAAGAAATGAATGACATAGGTTCCATCACCTAAGAATGCTGAGGTAATAGAACCTAGGGGGCAGTTGTGGGGATATATTTCTGAGTACCAACACGTGGCGAGGTGACGCCGACGTGTCAGCCGAGGTGCCACGTGTCCTGGTCGTTATGCCGAGGTCATCTCGGTTAAGCCGAGGTTATCTCCGAAGATATAGGAATCTGAGATAAACGGATAAGGGACAAGAGTCCTAGAATAAAGAAGAGACTTAGCCAAGATAATGATAAAACTCTTAAAAAGTTTATCTTTATCTCTTGAGGAGTCCAAAGTAAGTACTGAACAGGAATCCATAAAAGTCAGGCTTCTATTGGGATTAAGATTGAGGTAACTATAAAATAGGCACCCCCATGGGTCTAAGGTACGCAATTTTATACTTTAAGCATTGAGTTTAGCATTATTGATTATCTCTGAGAAACATACTGACTTGATCGTCGGAGTGCCCCCGGGTGGACGAACCACCGCCGGAATCTTCTCTTTCTGTTACAGGTTAGCCAGGTGTCATCTATTCTGTCAGTGTTCTCCAGCTAAGAACTGAGTTGGGCAGTGTGATCGGAAAATCACTCACACACATACGTATCATATTAAAATTTATAAAGTCTGTAATATTTTTTGACAAAAATATTGAAAAATATAAAAAATACTATTCTTTTTAAAAAATTGTAACAATTTTACTTGTATCGTACGCTTTATAAAACTTGAATAAAATAACAACGAAATAACCCAAAACTCAGGTGATGCAGCCCACAGAGAAACACCAAAATACTCCCACTGCCGGCAAACAAATAATTATTCTGTTGTTTATACCCATTGATATATATATATATATATATATATATACTACCAAATAAATAATTATTATGTTGTTTAAGAATTTCAATTTAGTAGTTTGTCCAACAAACAATAAAGCTAAACAAATTAAGATTCTAAAAATAAAAATAATAATAAATACAGTATTGTGATTTCTCAAAAGTTGTGGAATTTTCGGACCCCCTTCCCTGGTTGGTGGTGGATCGCCCAAAGCTTTTTTTTATCAAATTTATTGACTTAAAATAAATTTTGTAGATTTAAAATGTAATTTATCAAATTTATTGACTTTGAAACGAATTTTGTAAAAGTACCCAAACATAAATACACCCCAATAAAATTAAAGTAAAAATTAAAAAATATAATTTATTATAAGAATTTGAAGTCAAAATTCTATTAATAAAAAACTCTTCTTTTCAGTATTTGAACAAATCACACTACTCCCATTATTTCATCTCTCATTCTCAAAATTCACTTTTATGATCATTTTTTTACATAACCCAATTTAAACCTAATTTAAATTTTGAGTTCAAATTTATCTACACAAAAAAAAAAATTAATAATAATATTTTCTACATAAACATAACTCATAAACTCAATTTAAACTCAATTTTCATACAAATTTAAATTCACCATTTTTTTTTAACAGAACTTAATTTAAACTCTATTTAAATTTTGATTTTAAATTTATCCACCAAAAAAAACCAACATTTTCTACAAACATTTTCCAAAAAGATTGGATTTAAAAAAAAAAATTAAACCCACTTTTTTTGTGTGGTGTTGTGCCGGGTGGCCCCCTACCCTCCACTCATTCTCCCACTCCATCTTCCCCACTTTCTCTCTCTAATCTGTGAGTCTATCTTTCTCATTCTCTCCTCTCACAGGAAATCAACACCCATTCTCTCTCTTTAATGTTTAAAAAAACAAATCTTAGAAAAACAAATAGAAACCCAAATCTTATAAACACAAATCAAATTGATGTATATCAAGTGTAATTCCATTGAATATATGGATTAAGGTTTAGAAAACACAAACCCAAATACACACAAATTCAAACCCATTTCAGAAACTCATATATACAAATCCGGTTTTGACTTTCAAATGTCTTTTTATAAAATTACCCATATAAAAATGCACTCAATAAAATTATAGTAAAAACTAAAAAAAATAATTTATTATAAGAATATGTCTCGTGGGTTTTGTCACCGAAGTGAGTAAAAAAGTTCAATTAAAAAAAAACTCTTTTTTAAGTTTTTAAACAAATCACACACCTCATTATCTCCTTCTCTTTCTTACTTGTCTTGTGAAAAGATTACATTTTAACAGAACTCAATTTAAATTTTGAGTTCAAATTTAGCGAACCCAAAAAAAACATTTTCCATAAAAACAACATTTTTCGCATATCCTTTTTTTTTTTGAAAATGATAGTTACTTTTTTCAATAAATAAACATTTCTAATGATACCAATTTTTTTTTTTTTGAAAATTGTAGTCACGTTTTTTAATAAATAAACATTTATAATAATGTTACATTCCTTAGTAAACGGAAACATTTTTTTAAATTTTTTATTTATTTAAATTTTTGATTTGGCTATTTAAAAATAAAAAAATAATAAAACAAATTCAAATGTGCTTTTCCTGCCCAAATCTGAACCGTTGGATCAATTCAAAGTGCATCTCAACTCCCCTCTACCTATTATCTCTCTCTCTAACATCTCTAACTATTCTCTCTCCAAACCGTTTATTTCCTTTGTTTCATCTTCTTTTTTGATGGTGGTGGACAGCTGCGGAATGGACAGTGGCGATAAGCCGCAATGAGTCCCTACTTTCATTCATACTTTCTCTATTTTTTTCTTCACTCTCTTTTCTCTCAAATTCATGATTTGATTAAATTATAGAAAATCAATACCCTTTTCAAAACCATGTCAAAAATCAAAATCCATTTAAAAAATAAAATCCATTTTTATAAAGATCAAGTATTATTTCAAATTTAAAACCTTTTAAAAAAACTAAATCTATTTAAGAAACATAATGTTAAAATTAAATTGGATAAAATAACCCACGAAAAAAATTAACCATTAAAAAAATAAAAGTATAGCAATTAAAATCACTTATATAAAATTTTTATAAAGGCTCCAAATCTCGGCCAAATTGAAACGTAAAATCTCAACAAAAAAAAAAAAAAATAGTTTAGATATAGGACAAAGAAAAAGAAGAAGAAGAAGAAGATAAAGATAGATGGACCAATTCCAATAAAAAAAAAAATTGAAAT